GTTCCTGGTCTCAGGACGGAGGAGGGCGTCTCTGTTTTTAAGGAAAGCGCTTGAGGTGGTCCCACACCTGGTCGCAGTCGCCTCTGTGAGCCTCGGCTTTAAATGCTCGCCTGAAGGCCCGCGGAGCCTCATGTGTTGATTGAAAGCATTTGGGCCCAAACCTGACACTTGAAACCAGGTTCTAGAACTGGCAGCATCTCAGAAGAGTCTCTGTTCCTGATCCACTCCCCTCCCTATTCTCCTCGCTCCCTGAAGAGCTCCAGTGCCCTGAGGGCGGATATTCCGGCTGTTTTCCACTTTCATGGACTTTCTGAGACATTTGGAAAATCTTCAGAGCCTGCTGGAATTTCCAGCATGAAGGTGGCTGTGAACATTCTCTCTCAGGCAGCTGGTATCAGGTGTTAGGGACAGGCATTCTTCTAGCACAGGGGTCCTCAAACTACGGCCCGCGGGCCACATGCAAATACGAATATTGTATTTGTTCCCGTTTTGTTTTTTTACTTCAAAATAAGATATGTGCAGTGTGCATAGGAATTTGTTCATAGTTTTTTTTTTAAACTATAGTCCAGCCCTCCAACGGTCTGAGGGACAGTGAACTGGCCCCCTGTTTAAAAAGTTTGAGGACCCCTGTTCTAGTACAGTGTGTGTGTGTGTGTGTGTGTGTGTGTGTGTGTGTTTTCTTGGCATTCTGTGCACACATATGCTATGTTTGGCCTTGGAGTTTTGAAAATAGATTACGCACAAGCACCATTGTTTTAAAGACATCTCTATCCAAACTTCTGTGTTCAGGAATCTCACACTCTGCAAACATCACAGAGCATGCGGTGTTTCCAGTAAACCTAAGCATATGGCAATGAGCACCATGCAGGTAGCCAAGGTGATTTGGTGAAACTGGACTATGAAAGGTGAGTTAGGCTGGCACCGGGGCCTGAGAGAGCACGCTCACGTTATCCCCTCGGTCTGACTGTTCACAAGCTCTTGTTTGCTGACGGTGCTTTGGGAAGCACCCGACCATTGTAAGCTTATTCTGTTACTCAGCTGCTGGAGGGCGAGTGTCCTCCTCTTTCAGTTTTTATGCTTCTCGTGGCCTCATCTTATGTCGCAGGCTTCAGTGTCCCTTACCCCTGGGACTGTGGAAGTGCATAGAGAGACTCCCCATCTCCATCCTTCTTACTGAAGGCGCATGAGAGGAGACAGGATACGTAGGAAGAAGGGACACTCTGAGAACAAGGAGGGTATTGAGACCAGAGCCCTGTTCCTACCCCTCCTAGTTCTTCTCCATTCAGGTGTATTCCAGCAAATCAGTAGCATATGTATTGATCAGACGGTTGAGCACCGACTAGATGTAGCATAGGATTCATCTATGTAAACAGTACTGCAGAAGGAGTACATTTTATGACTCCAAGTGGACTTTTTCTTTTGTTTTTCCTAAGGCTTTATGCATAGCAGACGTGAAATAAATACTTGGATGATTATTTGGGGGTGCGCTATGCCATAACTATTACCATTTAGGCTAAAATAGAATTATGTTGTGTGATGAAATAGATTGTTTTTTATATTTAGAGTAGGCTGCTCAGCCAATGGAGGATTTGTCAAAGAGATAGAATGTGTGTGTATGTGTGTGCGTGCGTGCCTGTGTGTGTGTGTGTGTGTGTGTGTGAGAGAGAGAGAGAGAGAGAGAGAGAGAGAGAGAGAGAGAGAGAGAGAGATCCTTAGGCCTATAGAAGATGAATCTCTATTGGTTTCCTGTCTTCATGGCCAGATCCATAGGGTTAATGTATTTTCCGCAGCCCTTGGATCCAGGCTGACAATGTGATCACGCCTGACATGATCAAGAGGCATTTATCAAGTTTAAAAACCACATGCACAGCCTCTGGCTGGGCGGCTCAGTTGGTTGGAGCATCGTTCCATACGCCAAAATGTCACAGGTTTGACCCCTGGTTGGAGCACATGTGGAAGGCAACCCATTGATGTGTCTCTCTCTTTTCCATGTTTCGCTCTCTCTTCCCCTCCCCCCTCTCTTCCATTCTCTCTAAAGATCAGTGGAAAAATATCCTCAGGAGAGGACTCACAAACAAACAACAATAATCGCATGCACAGTTGTTTCAGTACGGAGAACAGACGCTCTGTCCATCTATGGTTTCATGCCTGGGGGCAGGCAGGGGGGTGGGAACTGGGACCTCCTGGAGAGGGAGCCTTCCAGCTGAGCTTCAGGAGCTGAGCACAGGTCCCCTCAGCAGCAGCCTCAGTCCCTGGAGACTTGGAGGCCACGTGCCTCCTGGACTTCTTCCCTTCTTGCCTTATCAGAGAGAGACTGATATGTGAGTTTGCATCTTAAGAGGAGAGTAGGAGTCCTTCCCTCCTATCACTGGCTGATTTGCTCAAATGAGCTGCACATTATTTTCCACAGCAGAGGCCGGTCGAGAGGAATTGGGAGGAAATAGTGTCAGCTGCTTTGACCACTCAAGCCTGGGGAATCATCGCCATTGCAGGAGAGCGATGCTGAGCTCATTTCAGAATGATGTGGATGCCTTCTGCAAGGACTTCTTCCCTATTCTTTCCCCGTTCCTGTTTCTCCTCCTCTCCTCTTCCCTCCTCCCCTGCCTCACCTTGCCTTTCTTCTTCTTTCTTCTCCAGGTTTTAATGGAATGAGCCCGTGACCCCAGCTTGGCCAAAGCTCAGCATTCACACGCACAGGCACATACACACATGCAGCCAGATTGACAGGGGTGAGCCTTGAATCAGCTGTTCATGAATGAAGCAGAGGTCCTGCCCCTCTGTGCTGGCCACGCTCCTTCTCTTTGAGGCATTCTGAGAATGAGGTCAGAGCCAGGATCTAATGGCTTGTGTCTCAGAAAAAGCAGCACAGGTCAGAATTAATCTTCAGCTATTTGTTTTGCTGCCTCATTCAGCTCATAGAGGGGAAAGCAGAGGGTTGATCATGGTTTTTGTTTTGTTCCTGTGCATAACTTTGCAAGGAATGAGTGAGTGAGTGAGTGAGTGAGTGAGTGAGTGAGAGGGGAGCGGCTCAGGTGGCTGCCAGGGTGTTTGCGCCAGCTCCATGGTAATTACTGACAGACTGCAGGAGTTTCCTTGGATCAACTGGGACATGTTTTCGTTTTTAAAACAAAATGGAAAAATAAAACAGGCCCCGGTGGTGTCTTAACACTTCCTCTCGTGAGGAGAATTTATCAGGTGCTGTGGAACCACATAGTCCCTTTACAGGGTCCAGTTGTTTTAACCATCAGCTTTTAAATATGGAGCTCACCCTCCCTCCCTGTAGCTCCATGGAGTTTTGCAGTATTCTAAATGAATATGCAGATTTCATTTCTGTCAGCCACTGTGGTGCACCCACAAGTACAGAAATGTGTGAGCGATATTCTCTCTCTCTCTCTCTCTCTCTCTCTCTCTCTCTCTCTCTCTCCCCCCCCCCCTCTCTCTCTCTCACACACACACACACGGCTTGATTTTTACCTAGTCTTTACATAAACTGGGTGTTATCTCTATGCACCAGCCAATGCCAGAGGGATGTTCATAGATGCTCCGAGGAGACTGACGCTTCTAACCCCTTCCACCCTTCTCCCCCTGCAGTTCCTGTAGGAGATTAGCAGGTCTGAAAGGGAGCTGTTGCCCCTGGCGTCTTAGGTGGTGGTGGGGGTTACTTTTTGTTCTCAAGATTAATCATTGGCTCTTAGCGCCTGTTTCATCTTTGAACATCCTTCCGGTTGGACCAGGACTCTCCTCCCTGAAAGATCAAATAAGCAAATGAGAACGTGGAGTGAGCAGAGAGGCGTCAGTGTCAGCCCGACCTGCTACGCATTCATTTGATGGACTTTGGTGTGACAGGTGTCCTCGGAAGGGGGTGCTGCGCTGTCTTTTCTATCAAAGGTGATTGATTACCTTTGAGTGAAGCGTGTGAAGGAGGACAGGATTGCCATGTAGCCGGCCTCACGTACGACCTTAAACGGTTTCCAAAATACTTAGACCTGTCCCCCCACTCCCTCCCCCATGGATATCTGTACAAGCAGCAAGTTTGTGCCCCTCCCGCATTTTATTATGAGTTTATTGAAATAAGTACAACTTGAGAGCAACATTATAGGATCATCTCGACCTAAAGGGATCGACTACTTTGCCCAGATGAACTGTCAGGTTCTGAAAAGACAAAGCTATAGCTAGACGTTCCTGGCTTCTAGGAATGAGTGGGAAAGAGAAGACGTGTGTGGTCCTAGACATAATTGGACCTTTTAAAAAATTGCGTATTGAATTTATAGGGGTGACATTGGTTCGTGGAATTATATGGGTTTCAAGTGTACAGTTCTGTAATACATCATCTGTATATTGTATTGTGTGTTTGCCACCCAAAGTCAAGTCCAACTTTCTGTTTTTCAATTGGTATTTCTTGGACAGAAACAGAAAGTAAATTCATGGTTATCTTAGGGCTTGGCTAGCAAAGGAGGATTAACAGGCACGAGGCATCTTAGTGAGACTATGGTGATGGTTGCAGAACTTGGTATAATTATTCAAAGTCATTGACTGAATTGTACATTTAAAATGGGTGAATTTTATGGTAGTATGTAAATTCCACCTCATTAAAGCGGCTAAAAATTGATATTCCTGTATTTAAGTTCTCTTGGGACCTAACTTGCATATAATATGAAACATTGTATCACCCCAAATGTTTACCTGCTCTTTTCCCACTGGAGTGTGTGTCTTCACTTTGGTGGCGGAGAAGATTCACCCTGAGATTACAGGGCCAGATACAAACCCCAATGTTAGGATATTAGAGTCTGCCCTGACCCCTGTTGGCCAGCAGTGAGGTTGCTGCCCACTGCCTGGTAAGGAGCCAACATAAGGGGAGCAAAGAGATAGGTTTCCAGGCAGACCCCAGAAAGCACCTGGCACCAAATTTCCGAGCTGCGGCTACATGTGTCACAAAATTAAAAAATAAAATCCCAGTGTTGTTCCGCCCTTAAGTCACGCATTTCTCTCTTGTTTTGCAGGTTGTCTTAGTCTTCGCTCTCAGCATTGGTGCACTTGTAATATACTTCATAGATTCGTCAAAGTGAGTATTCGCATCCGTTGTCTTGCCCTGTTTTCCTGGCACAATTGTGAGTCCTTATTGACATCGATCAATGAGTTGCTTTAGCATCAACCTTCGCAAGCGCCTCCTGCGTGTGGAAGACTTTTAGAGGCAGGCGGGGCTGTCGGTGCTGATTTTCTGAATGGGAAGCAAGTTCTCCCAAGGAAGGACTCTGCTGGCTAAGACAGGGAGGGTGGGGTATCGGCGTGCTGGGTATTGTTTATGTGTAAATAACTGTTTCCTGAGTATTTGCACTGAAGAGGCCAAGAGGGTCGGAGAGTTTTGTGCATTTGCAAACTCTGGGAAGTTTAAGTGCCCAACGGGCCAGGGTCTGAGCCATTCTTGCCATGGTGGTTGGGCTCTTTGCTCGTTAGGGTTTCAATGCTTTAATCTTATTTGAGGTCAGTTAGAAAGCGTGATACTGTCCTTTGTACCTGCCAACCAAATACTCAGCGGAAGCATCGCTTGCTGGTGCTTCTTGACTCGAGAAGGAAGGAGATGGGACAGAGTTCATGATGACTCCCAGAGGTGGAGACCATGGCCATCTGAGAATTCCTAGAGTGGACACTCACACAGACCCTCAGGTGCCAGCTGAGAGAACTGGTGCTTCAGGGTGAGCCCGGGGTGAGGTCTGTGCCACAGATGGCCAGGCTTTGTAGGAGGCAGGAGAGGTCGCCGAGCGGAGCTGCCAGGTGGTGGCCAGTTCTGCCCTGGCCCCTGCAGGCGTCACCCTGGCGCATCATCTGGTCCAGGGATTCTGTTGCAATCCTGACGCTGACAGCATCTGGGAAACTGGAGCTGAGCGGGTCTGGCCGGCCTGTCTGTGGTGACATGAGCTGGACACTGGACAGTGGCCTTGAGCTCTTTGCCTGTGTTTTTCACTGTGAGAGTGTGTGTGTCTCCTTGAACCCTGTCCCTGGTATGGCTGCACATGAGCATCTGAGCCCAGGAAACCCGCTCGATGCCCCCATTGGCAGACTCCTGCGTGTCTGAATTCTGAGCTTAGCGTTCTTTCGCCGGGGCTCGGGATGGTGCTATTTCATGCCCGCCTAAACTCTGAGTTTCTCAGAGGCATCTGGTCACCAGCCAGAGGATTTTGTGACTGGAATGCCAAGGCCAAGATATCATGTTAGGGAAGATAAAGAAAACACCAGCTCCAATCACCTGTCTCTGGGGATCAGCCACATCAGACAATCTGAGGTCGTTCAGCCTTCCCCACGCACCAGCAGGGCTGCCCTGGCCCAGCTCGGGGTGAGGGTCCTTTAAACTGTCTCAGGAGAGGAGATCCCACAGGCTCCTCCGGCAGCTCGCGCCGACCAAGAAAGAGAAGACGAGCTTTTCAGTCTGGAAAACTCCCAGTGGCATGTCATTGAAGGTAAGCCCCTTGCCAATATCTCCTCTTCATCACTCTGACCATGATTGAATTGAAGCAAAGATCTCTAAAGCCCTCGGTCCTATTTCTCCATTCTCTCCCCAGGCACATCCTGGGGGGTGCATCCCCTGCCAGTTTCCATGCCAGGGCTCAGGAAATGGGCTTGGGCATGCAGTCTGTGTGCCCCAGACAGAGCAAGCCCTGACGTGGAGGTGAGTGTGGCTGTTAGAAGGACAGATGCCTCGGCCCCTTCTTTCCTTTGCCTCTCTTCTTGCTCCTCTGTATTTCTGTTAAAATAAAAAGCTCTTGCTGGATGGGTCTGAATTGTGTCTTTTTTTACAGCGTCTACTGTGAGGCAGCCATTTGTACTTAGATCCTGGTGGACTACCACAGGCAAGACCCTCTCCTTGGCTCCCCGCACTACCACAGGGCCCTTTGGACTTTGTTCTGGTTCTGCCAAGCCCTGGGAGGCTGGCATTGGGGGTCATCTCTGGTTCTGGTTCTGCAGAGAGTCTACGCCAAGAATGGACCTTTGATTCTGTTCCCAGCTTTTCCCAGAAAAGTGCCAACAATCCTAGAACCAAGACTGTCCTCACTCTCCCGGGGACTGCTCTGGCCGCATCCTAAACTCAGTCTTTCCTCTCTGTCACTAGACTGTGCGGTTTGGCAGAGAGGGCCTCTGTACATTGGAAGACCTGATGTTTCTGTTGCCTTTTCTGCTTTCATTAGCATTTTTTCCTTTGGTGCTGGAGCCATACCCCAAGGTTCTGTCCCAGGGGTCACCTGATCTGCATAGTCAGTACCAAGGAGTCTGCCGTCTTTCTGGGGACAGCCGGCACGCATGCTCAGTTAAGTAAGGAGAGGAATTAAAACAGACTCTGTAAGGTAACCTTTACGATAAGTCTAAAGGTTCAGGAATAAAAAAATAATCTATTAAAATAACTACCAGCAAGCAAAGTAAACAAGATAAAGTGAGATTCTATCCACACATAAAAAGAAAATGGAAAGTAGGTAGGAAAGCAGGCTGTAAATTCTTAATATCCATCCTTTTTATTCAAAACTGTCATCAGTTTTACCCTCTGGTGGTTTTGCCAGCCATTGGAAAGAAATGGCATCTTGGAAAGAAATCTTTAAACTTCTTTTAGAATTTATACAAAATCCTTATCCTGGAAAAAAGAAGTGTACAGTATTCTTCAGATGAATTTTAGTTGGTATTTATACCCTTCAAATGAATAAATAACTTAAAAGACAATCAATCTATAGGCCTTCCCTTGCGTGAACCTAACTGGGCAGACATTGTCAGTCACATGGCTTGTTTTGGTGAATTTTAACCAGAGCTGGCCTCCCCAGATGGTGGGAATACACTGACAACACAAGTTCAAGGTGTGAGGCTCTGCAGGTTCAGTGTCAAGACAGGCCAGTTCAGGTTGCACAAGAGGACAGGTGGGCTGGGTGGTTATTCTACTTCTGTGTGGCACCAGGGGAGGCTGGCATTTCTGAAAAGTGCCATAGTTGAAGTGCGCATGATCTTTTTAACCTTTCGCTGCTCATTTGGCTATCAAGAGGCTGTGGGTACGTTATTTCCAGATACAGTCTCAATTACACGTTTTTTCCTTTTCCATTGCTAGGCCAGGGTGATCCCTGAGCAGGTCTTTTGCTCTTAAGGCTTTGAGAAGCCCTTCCTTGGGTATTACTTTTCCAGGTGATCACCAGAGAGGAATCGCATGGGCAGCTTCAAGTGGTTGCTCTGAGCTAAGACAGACTGTCCTCACGACTCCTGGAGTTGAAAGCCAATGAGAATTACCTTAAACTGTGTTAAAATTATGCTCCCATCCAAGGAGAGGAGGCTGTTCCACCAAATCTTTCGATAGACATCAGTGTTAATTCCTTAATAGACACAGAGATGCATTAAGCCCGCCACACACAGCAATCCCACCCCCCAGAAGGTACCCCTCAGTTAGCCACAGAAGACAGTTAGAGTCCAAAAGAAAATAACTCCATTTCTTTTTTAAAAAATATTTTTTTTGTTGATTTCAGAGAGGAAAGGAGAGGGAGAGATAGAAACATCAATGAGAGAGAATCATTGATTGGCTGCCTCCTGCAAGCCCCCCACTGGGGATCAAGCCTGAAAAATGGGCATGTGCCCTGACGGGGAATCAAACCATGGCCTCCTGGTTCATAGGTTGATGCTCAACCACTGAGCAACACAGGCCAAGCAGGAACTCCATTTCTTTTCCATTCTTTTTAAAGGTGCTGTGCCTGTTTAAGGCACATCTCACTCCAACTCCTAACTCTGATGTCTCTTGTTGTTTACGCCAACACTTTCTTCTCACACACTCTGCTATTCGGAGAAGCAAAGATTTTTAAAAAAATATACAGTAAGTCAAAAACAATTAAAAAAATAAAAGTGCCCTTGGGTGTCCTGTGGGTGATGATGTCATCATGGCTGATTCAACCCTGTCAGTTTCCTCCCTCTGACACAGGAACAGTGATTCTTCCTAATAGATAAGGGAACAGAAAGCCCCAAGATGTCAGTGTGAGTGCAGGCTTCATGGCTTGCATAATGCAGCAGTTCCTGCTGCTTCTAGAATTTCAAGAGGAAGTTGGAAGAGAGAGCGGCTCAGGGCCCTGGGAATTTGCCCTTTTCCAGGGGCATTCTGGGAAAGGATGACTCACCTGTGAATATATTTATTCCTTTGATTCATGTTTAAACTCCGCTACTTTTTAGGCTGTAGTTATGTGGATTATGAATATTTAATATTGCGTATACTGAAAATGAAGGTCAGATCCTGCTTACGTGACTTCAATGCTGACTCCTGTCTATGCAAGGCAAGCTGCCTGCTGTTAGCAGAGTAAAGCTGAAAGGTTACACATTGTTAAAAATCTCCATAATGACTTTATTTGCTCCAGAATGGCTGGTCCACAGTGGGGGGCTACTTTCCTGTTTTTTTCTGTTGGCTTCTGCTATCTTCTCTTGGGTTCTGCTATCTCCTCTTGGCTTCTGGTAGGGGCAGCTGTTTGGGATGTGGCCGTAAGGAGGGGGAAGCGAACAGTACCCCCAGGCTTGGAGAGCAATTTCATTTAAGGGCTGGATGCCAGAGTAACAGCGGAATTACGATGTGAAAATGGCCTTGCCCTAGTCTTGAAAAGTTTATGTTTGTATTCAGTAATTCATTCATTTTGTATCCATTCATTCACTTGAAACATCTTCAGAGTGATAATGCTGAGTATTTTCCACATGGTAAAAATGCTATGGTTAGTTATGGTCAAGGAAAACTGTTTTTAAGATTGCAATAGAAAATGACCTGACTGTGTTTATGGTCTCTGGAAATAAAACCGGTCCCACTGATGTAAGAGGGATACCCAGAGTTTTAGCAGAAGTGACCAGTCACCCAACTGCTTACTGCCCCACCTTCACAGGCCAGGCCTCTCATCCCTCAGCCAAGACATCCTCCTCAGGAGGGAAGGGAGGGGCCGGGTTGGAGGGAACTACATTTGCTGATCATGTGCTTTGTATGGAGTCTAGTGCTAAGCACTTTAAGATAAATAACACAGCAGTCCTATCATAGTCTTCTAACTACATCATAGAGTAGGTATTACGGCATTCCCACTTACAGGTGAGGCCGAAGTTGCAATATTTACTCCAAACCATGTAGCTAAGAAATTGTGGAGCCGGGGTTTGAATCCAGCATGTCTCAAAGCATCGCTCTTCCATGTCAAGAAGTGAAATTCCAGCCTGTGGAAGCGACTAAATGGGTTTAATGAGAAGTTGCAAGAATGAGAGGTCCCTTAACCTCATACCCCTCCCAGCCCCCCCCCCCCCCACCTCCAGTCACCTGTCTTGTTTGCCCTCTCGTTCTCCATCTCCCCACTTCTCAACTTTGGGGCCACGTTTGAAAGTCAGCCGTGCTGATGAGGGTCCTATGACAGCTTTCTCCCTATGTCATGGGACGTGTGGGACAGACCCCTGGGACATGGGCTGTCTGATGTCTCTTTGGACCTTGATCTGTTTCTTCCAAATTTGGTTTCCTAAGACTATTTTCTCTTCTATCGCAGGGAGTAGCAGCATTTTGTGCTGGACTGGGGTCAGGTTAGCAGAGAACAAGGAAAGATGTTGTTTCTCCGGGGCTCTTGCCGCTGAAGGGATTCTTTCTCGGCAGAAAGACCCTTTGCCCGCCCCGCTTACCTAGTTCTCTGTGACAGTAATTACCACGCTAACAGAGATAACGGCAGAGACCCCGCTTCCCATTAGATTATTGTATCTCACTAGAGAGTCGCAGAATGTAGGCAGCACTTCCTTGTGTGCCTAGACAATTAGTGTTGTCAAACCAATGGACTCCAGGAAAGTGTGGCCCCGAAGATGTTTCCATGGAGTCTTTAAACGATTTTTAGGTGTCTGGCCTCCCCCTCCAGGTAACTGTGCACACAGGGGTTGACACAGCGCCTCCCACATGCCCACCCTCCTGGCAGGCGCCCGGCAGAGCTGGGAGGTCAGCGTAGGCCACCTCCATGTTAATGTGTTGTAGACTGTGAAGTACAGTGAACGCTCCTGTAACTGTCCCCATTCGCACACCCCTTGCCCCGCAGCATGAACAGCTGGGCAGCCCCAGGCAGAGAGGAGGCTCTGTGCCCAGCTCCTTCACGGAACCGGGCCCTTCGAGGTAGGATTCTGAGAAATTCGCTTCAGCTCTCCGCCTTCTTCTCTGTTTTGAGAAGCCATGGCCAGCGTTTAACCTTTGTCGAGGAAATCAACAGGAATCACTGTGTGTGTAAAACATCTCCCTATTCTTTTTTTTTTTCCTTTTTAAATACGCCCCCCGATTTTCTTCCTCTCTTCCTGACATTTTTATTGCTGGGCTTTGGTTCGGAAAATTACGGGTAGGGAAAGTTCAAGGGCAGGATGTGCAGAGCAGCAATGCACATCTGTGAAGGGAACACAACAGGAGAGCCAGCAGCTGTTGAAAGAATGGGGTGTCAGGTGGTGGAGGAGCTGAGCGTGCTGGAGGGAGGCGGAGGGGGAGACGCCTTAGGGGCAACAAGGCTGTAGATAACTCCCAATGGGGAGTCCTTGTTCCCTTTCAGAATTTAACCTCTAATGCAACAATTGATCCTCTCACATGGGAGAGACCCTCACCCAACTGTTCTACCTCGTCTAGTTTTCCAAATTGCCTCTCTCATCAGTTGGGTAGAAACGAAACGTGAAGAGACGATGGGTGGAGAATATGCCAAGTGGGTAAGCGCTCTCCCTCCCTTCCCCTCCACACTTTGAGGGGGTCTCAGCTTCCCCACTTGCTTCACATTGTGATAGATAAGC